GGTCCGGTCAAGCTACCTGGAAGCACAGTGAACACAGCCGGCGGGAGGCGCCGCGCCCCGGCGCTGAGCACCAGCCGGACGCGGGGCGGAACCTGGGGGCCCACGGGTTTTGTTTAGAACTCCAAAGTTCAACTAATGCCCTATTTTAGGGTGAAAACAACTGTAATCTGAGATGATGCACAGCATCGAAGAGCGCCCCCCGCGGCCATGAGGCGTCGTCGCGCCAGGGCACCGGGTCACATTTCTAACGAGAAATAACAACGGGGTGAGTGTTTTCTTTCCTATCACAAGTGATAACCAGTGTCTGGTGTTTTACATTTTCTTCCAAGAAATAGCAGTCTCATCAACGTTTTAAAATAAAATGTCTGCAGTAACAGTTACCTGTAGAACTTTAAATCAAAAAAATGATTCTGAATTTAGAGACTTTCAGAAAAGACCGAGGTGTACTTCAGGGTCTTCTGACAGACAAATCATTAAAACAGAGACCAGATGAGGCCTTAAAAATAGACAATATGCTATATTTAAACAAGATTGCACTGAAGAGGTCAGGGCCGCCGTTCCCTGTGTTCCTCCCTCGCCGACATGCTGCGTGTCCAGCCCCCGGGCGCGCCGGGGCCTCCTGGGGCCGAGGCGCCGCGCGGGCGGCCGCGGCCCTGCTGTCCGGCACGGACGCTTCCCGCGGCCAAGCGCGGCTTCGGGAATGGAGATGGAGCCTTCTCTGACAGCAGAACCGATCCCGGAGGATAAATAATTCTCCAGAGCGAGGTGGCGCAGTCCATGGGGTGAGCGTGTCCTCGGCGCCGCCCGGGGGCCGCCTCCGAGCGCAGGCCGGCGTCAGGGGTCGGGCAGGTCCGAGGTATCCACTATGACCTTAATAAAGATGGTGTCGTCCTTGATGTAGGTCCCGTTCTCCAGCACGGTCTGGGCCACGAAGACCGGGCAGCCCGACGCGATGTTCATCTCCCCGGTGGGCTTCTTGAAGCTGCTGCTGTTGGGGTCCGGCTTGAAGGCGTCGCCCAGGTGGCGCCGGGAGGCGCCCTGGTCCATGAGCATGAGCGTCACCTTCTGCTTGAAGGGCCAGGGCAGCAGCGCGTCGTACTCGCCGCGCATGATGACGAAGAAGAGCGACAGGTGCGTGCCCTTGCCCATGCCGTCGCCGTTCAGGTAGACGCGGGCGCACATCTTGTAGCCGAAGTAGCCGGTGTAGAAGGGCTGGCTGTACAGCGACAGCGTCTTCCCCATCACGGCCTCCTGCTTCCGCCGCTTGTAGTCGCGGATCTTCCAGATGAGCACGCCGTTGTAGCTGGCCGTCTCCAGGACCTGGAAGCGCAGGTCCATGTCGGCCAGGCGGATGTCGTGCACGCTCAGCATCTGGTCGTGCCGGCTCAGCTGGGACTCCAGCAGGCCTGCGCCGGGGAGAGG